TTTTTCGCATTATTAGTTACAGCTTTGACTACCAAACGTCGGGAATGGACATACCAAACACCACCAAACGACCACCAAACGAATGGTTATAGTTATTATTGAATTTTCAGTAGTGGGGGGGCCAACTTCACACAGCTCGATTTTATGATTCTCGTAGCCGTAACTGTATGTCTGCCCTCTTCTAGCCTGTGTGCGCTCATGTGCGCTATCTCCATTCCACGGCGCACAGTGGGGACAAATAGAAATTTACTGCTCAAAAATCGCTACAGACCGTAATTCTTAACCGATCGAGACGTTTTTTTTTTTAAATTAATTGTTAATAAATTTCCCACAAAACTGTGGAGTTCGATTTTTTAAAAAGACTCTTTAAAATGCACAATATTAATAACAATTTGAAAATTATTTTAACCTGAAGTTGAATTAGAAGAATTAAAGTTACTTTTGCATTGAGCTAGCTTACGTAACAGTTTTTAAGGTCACTAAATACGAATCTGTTAGAAACAAATGTTAGAATTAATATTTGACTTTTGACAGTCGTCAAATTAAAAAAATGCATGTTTTGGCTGAATATATTCTTTTACTCGAATTATTTTGCATTTGTTTCATATTTATTTATTTATTACTATATATATATATATTTCACAACGTTTCGGTCCAAATTCGGACCCTCTTCAATTGAACTCTTTCACAAGCATTCGACAAGCAATTCGTGACACTGTACCCGCAAGTCAAAAATCGAAGACTAGGCAGAAAAGGAATTCCATTTTTGTATTGCGATCGCTTAAATATTATAAATAACAAAGGACCTAGAAAAGTAAAAAATCTTGACTTACATGATTTGTGCGTTGTCAGTAAAATATAATAATGTCAGTGTTAGTAAAATATAGTGTAAAAAATAATAAGAAGTCGAAGTAGTATAAAATTAAATGTGTATATATAGAGCGTGTTTAGGAAGCACGTTTGTATATCCCGATTGCAAAAAAAATAAATGTAAAAAATGTAAGATAAATAAATAAATAAATAAATAAACATATATTTTTACATTTATTTTTTTTTGTCTTTTTGCTTTATATTTTTTTAATCTGTCGCTAAAAAGGTTTTGTAATAATAATATAGTAACAATTTTTATATTGTTACAATAAAAGGAAAATATTATGCAATTACTCTTGTATTAGTAAATTCTGGGCTTCAGGATCAATGGTCCTTACTTTTTTTGTCGACAAGTTTCTCAGACAAGTAATTAATGGATCTGAAGAAATTAATAATTTATGCATAATATCTTCGTTTGTTAGTAAGCGAGAACATTTTCTTGTATTGTAAAGACGAAAACGTTTGAAATCTTTATTTCGAGCTTCTGCGGCTTCCTCCGATAACCGTCCAATTGCAAGATGAAAATATCGAATAAGATATATATATATATATAGTAATAAATATATATATATATATATAATAATAATAAATAAATAAATATAAAACAAATGCAAAATAATTCGAGTAAAAGAATATATTCAGTCAAAACATGCATTTTTTTAATTTGACGACTGTCAATAGTCAAATATTAATTCTAACATTTGTTTCTAACAGATTTGTATTTAGTGACCTCAAAAACTGTTACGTAAGCTAGCTCAATGCAAAAGTAACTTTAATTCTTCTAATTTAACTTCAGGTTAAAATAATTTTCAAATTGTTATTAATATTGTACTTTTCAAAGAGTCTTTTTAAAAAATCGAACTCCACAGTTTTGTGGGAAATTTATTAACAATTAATTTAAAAAAAAAACGTCTTGATCGGTTAAGAATTACGGTCTGTAGCGATTTTTGAACAGTAAATTTCTATTTGTCCCCACTGTGCGGCGTCTCACGGCAATTGGCAAATGGTGTGACTGGGGACACTGGGGTGGTGAAAGGTGGAAAATCTCCTTGCACACTGTCACTGGTTACGCACACAGAGACGCTCTGTGTGTGTAAGTGGAGGGGGAGAGCCTGCGCACGGCAAATCGCGGCGCGATTTCCAAACAACACGCACCTAATCACATCGGTGTCGACCGCCGAACAAGAACCGTAGATTTGTTCGCGTCTTATGCATCAACATCGCAAAGATGCTGAGGCATAAGAAATATAGCGACGGAGAGTGCGACGAGAGCTGCATAGAAGCAATTTTATACAGTGTATATGCTTTATGTGTAATAATTATAATTGTTCTTTGTTTTTTATATTATAAAAAATTGATCAAGTTATGCAAATCATCATCGTCAGCCCGTAAACCACCGACGACAGAACGTAAGTCAATCAACACCTCTCTCTCTCTCTCTCTCTCTCTCTCTCTCTCTCTCTCTCT